TACTTTAAATTATTAACATATTGGCAATCAATAAATTTTTGAAGAAAAAAAACGGTAGGGAGCCAATTCAACAGTAAATTCTTGGGAGCCAATTCAAAGGTACTTAGTAAGGGTAAAATATTGACTACCTGTATTGGGGAGCCAATTCAATTGCTCCGCTCGCCATGACACTATTTTATTTTTATTTTTTGTCTAATTGATTATATGAATATTAAGACTAAGCGATACTATACAGGTATTACAGAATATAACAGAAAATATGACAAATTAAATACGTACATATAAAAGACATGACATTCTGTAACAGTGGTTAGAAAATTCTGTCATATATTCTGTTACACACTATATATGTATATTAAATACATAATATATTTACATATTGCCGGTTGTAACTAGAATTTTTCATTGATACATTATTATTAACACCGATTCAGTTATTATCTCTGAGCGTCAAAACTTAAGTCAGGCGTAAAATACATATCTTTTCAAAATAATCCGAACGGTACGTCGGAACGARGGATTGCAAAATCAGTTTTGTGATAAATTAAAATCTCCTTTGCATAAAATACTAAAAAAAGGCACACTTAAAAACTCGAATGCAGGCAGGAATTATAATTCAATGGTTTTTGGCTCCACCGGAAATGTCTAACCATCCAGTGCAAATGGAAGTCTAATCCTCAACCCATTTTCTACATGGATTTGTTTTAGGAAATAGAATTCCGATTTTGTGCGGCGACGTTCTATGAGAAAAATCATTCTGTAAACGGTTAGAGCAATTACACAAAATACGATGTAATATAATATAGTATAAACAATATTAATAATAATAACAACAATAATCTATCGTTATTCTGTATTATAATATTGATGTGCCATTTGATTCTTTTTTTCATTTTTTCAACTAGGGTAGATGAAAACCTGCCATGTAAAAACTGATACTATAAAACATTTTATTTATTATCATGTAAGTATAATAGGTATATATAATGGACTGCAATGTATACACTATACTCATTCTAATACGGTGCGGCAACGTACTTGTCGAATCTGTGCCACGTCAGATTAACACCATACCGCGTCGTTCACTTCCGGCRGGCCGCAGTTCGTTCGATCCCAATATATTTAACACATAAAAATAATATCGGATATAATATAATAATACTACAATGTTAATGATCCCGACATGGAATTGCACTCAGCCGTTGCCAAAGTAGTTAATAGCGATAATATTTGTTCTCACACATCCCTCTTACCATGCACTATTGTCGGCACTGCGTCTATAATATTATTATTATTATTTCACTGCAGATCTTTTACGAGAACACACGACATATACTCGTCGTCGTGGATGCATAAAAATTATGAAAATTATTATTATAAATATCGGGTCAAGGTTTTTTACACGATCAGAATTTCGCGTTGTAAAATTCGCATGCACCAGATATTGAAATTGTTTAAGACCCCCACACATTTTGTATAACATTGCGTTTCGAATAACTCGTTATATATATATGAGCGAATATCTAATATAAGTACCTACTATATGGTGTCTGTGGTATGAATGATATGATAGCTCTGCAGTGAATGTTAAAGTCAGAATTGTGAGTAAAATTAATTTTGATTTTAATTATTCTGGTTTGTGTTGTAGTTTAATATTTTCAGGGATCCCTGCAAAATCGAGTGGAGCTTTATAAAAATATGCAAAAAGTACCTTTCGAAACATTGTTTGCATCGTCTAAAGTTTTTTTTCGATATACACGACGAGTTTAGAGTCATCCGTTTTTATTGCTACTATTATTTCCTTGACTCCATCAATTTTCGAACACGCTGCGCCTGGGTGATTCCAAACACAATCGACGAGCTTTTCTTTTTATCRACGTTAAAACACGAATATATTTATATAAAAATCACATTAAACTTTTYTCCAGTAGATAAAAAATATTTAGAGAAGTACTCGTATGTATACAAGGACTAGGATGAAATAAATTATTTCGTCAAATTTTCCATAAAAACGAATTCTTTCCTGACTTGTCAGTCGATACTGTACGCAATAATGATGATGATAATAATAATAATAATAATAATAATAATAATAATAATAATAATAATAATACAAATAATAATTTTATATTGTCTAACGCGGCCACTTGGTACTCATTTTGATAACTCGTAAAACTCGATCGTTTATAATAATAAAAATTTATTTCAATAACAATAATATTGGATAAACAACAAAGAAAGAAATATGTTTTATACTAATTTTATACATCACAATTTTTGGAAAAAAAATTCTTTAGTCAAAATACTATATGTTACAAATATGATGATGTTTAGTTTAATGTACTCGTATAAACGTGAAAACACTTAGGAAAACAAAAAATAAATAAATAAAAAAACATCCAAAAACAGTTTATGCACGTCCACAGTGTGAATAMAATATTATATGATATATATTATATGTCACATACTCAAGCGCGTGAACTTTTCAATGTTTGAATAAGAATATATATACATGCATTATGAATGTAAAGTTTTTTTCGTCAACTAAATTATTATAAAATTACTATACGATATATACACCGCGATAATGCTTTCATAAAATTTGTCATGGTCAAAACGCATAAATAAACTTTGGTCTTAAATTACAACAAAATAATAATAATGATAATGATAATTATAGAAATAATAAATAAATAATATGAAGTGTGTTTTCCATGTGAAAAAAAAAACAATAAGTCAAAAAGAAATTGTAAAAAATAATTATAGCAATAATAATAATAATAATAATAATAATAAAAATAATAATGATGATAATATATAATAACGTTATAGATATGAGAAAGTCTAACATAATAAGAATGATATCGTCGTATGATATGATGTTGGCGGGACCCAAGAATCAATCAGCTTCTTGACGGGCCCCGATGATATTGCTGTCACCACCGAAGCGGATTGTCATTCGGTCACCGATTTTTTGTCACCGATCACTCTTGGGTAAAGCTGAAAAACGAAAAAAACAACGAACTCCCGTCCATTACACCGTATAATATACAGTTTCGGTGCGTATAATAGCACTGCCGTCAGTTACCACCGCATACACGAGAAATGCTTTAAATTTGATTCCGTACATACATAATGCATACGCACACGTCACTGTTAGATTATGTAAGGGTGGGGGTTAGGTTGGAGTATAAATGGGGCATTCCCTCTTCCTACCTTAACACTCAATCATATATTATATGATATCATATCGCTTCTTATTACTTATTATAATTTCATTGTATACTATTTGAAAATATATTATATATACCTAGTGAGTTGATAGCGGTTTAAGAACTCGTAAAGAATTATTATGTAACATTGCGAAAACTGTCGAGTTTATCATAAGCCAACTTCTTCACAATTCCCCTGCCAGTGATAAATCCTAGGAATATAACATGGCCGGTAATAAAGTTGTGTGCAGGTTTTTACCATACACCCATCATAAGATTTAGCTCTAGTCAGCTATCACTGACAAACGCACATTGATACGTATACGCACGGATTAACCTACTCTACTCAGCTATATACATACCCACGATTATTATTACGTATATGTGTGGGTCGTGGGTGGATTCGGCGATGTGAAAAAAATGTTCGTTGCAGACTAAATATTAGGGGAGTCCGTTTACGTCACTATCCACAATCATATACCTAGGTATTAATTAATATATATGTTAACGATTCGACTGAAAAGGGAACGTATACAATTTTTCTCAAAAACGTAGTATTAATAATATGATTTAATTGCTTGTGAATTCAAAATAAAACATGTTTTGTACTGCTATCATATTWGACGTCATACACACAACGATTTACAATATTATATTTGTTGTTTAAGATATCGACGCTCATTTATGAAACTAAAACTATTTGACTTCTACATCTTAGTCTACTCCAAGTTTTGTCCACGTTTATGTAAAAGTCGAAGTATATTATTATTATCATTTTTAAAATAGTGCAATACAATATTTAATTTAAAAAAWTTTTTTTTCAAACATTTGAACGAAATACACAATTGTGTTTATACTCAAAAATAAACGTAGTGAACTCATTAACAACATTCTTACGAYCAATACAAGTCCATTWMTAAACCACCGACCACGTTTGTTCCAATTTTTTTTGTTATAAATTGACAAATTACATTATTTTTTCAATTAATTTTACAACTACAAAAAAATTAAGGAAATATTATAAACAATGTAAAAACATATATTTAGGAATACAACATATGTTTAAATGTTTAAGTTTATATTAATTAATTTATTAATTTATTCCTAATACATTTATTTTTAATTTACAACCCATCTATTCACCCGCCACATTTGAAATAATCAGCGTTTTTATAAGAACCTTTAGTTTACATAAAATACAGATGATATTTATAGAACGGTCTCTTGCAGACACGTCATGTAATGTTTTTGTAGGAAACTCTAAAATACATGTTTATTATTATATTATAAAAGTGTCAAACGGTGAAAATGGTGCATGCGATAATAATCATTAAACAATTGTAATTAAAATTAATACAGCAATTAAAATGTAATCATATCGACGCGACGATTGCGTAGAGGCGGTAAAATTATTAATGTGTGTTTCAATACACCCATCTCCACGGACCGAGATAATGAACCTTAATTGAGATCAAAATCGATACGGCAAATTTTTTATTTGTTTGATATTATTGTTAGTTTTCTGACAGTGACGACGTATGATTAAACGGATAATAAATAGATAATACAAATAAAATTCCGTAGGTATGTCGAGGTGTTAGAAAACGTTTTAGAGCAAAAATAGTTATTTATATATATTTATATATATATTCATATAAAATAGACATATATCGATGTATCACCTCCTATAGTACATAATATTACACAATACATCTACAAAATTAATATATGATATGTATGTGTGCATATGTGAATTAACAACTACAATAAATCATTTTTCTATAAGTCCGTTTGTTTCGGAAATAATATATCTTGTTGTGTTAAAGAAGAAGAAAAACTCACCCCGAGCAAATTTCGTGGTACGTATCCTTCACGATCGTCAATCCTCGACCACCACCATTCTCGTTCGGTGTCGTCACCCTTCCTTAGTACGATGATCTTGTCACCATCATCGAAAGTCAACTCGTCCTGGTTGTGCGCTTCGTAACCGAATACCGCATACACCGCACCATTGTTCATTATGCCTAACTTCTCTTGAACGCCTGTAGAAATCATTTCACAATTTAGTAAGATGTGCAATTTGGAAATGTTTTTTTTATAAATATGTGTATTTTATAATATTCTATACTATTCTATAGGTATGTGTAAATAGGTAGTATTTATTAAGTTACTGAAGGTTTTGGATGCAAAATATTAAAACTAATATATAACACAATATACCTACATATAATTTTGTTTTTAATAAACGATATTAATACTAATTGTAAATGGTAAATCATGTATAATAGGTTTTTTGTTATTAGGAAGGGGGTATTATTACAATAAAGCGATGTAATTAAAATCAAAACAAAGAAATTATTCAACTCACTGTAAAGAAACTCTGAACATCCATCAAAACCCTCTTCGTCCTCCTCGCACTTCTCGGCGGCCGTCTCCTGGTCTGATAACGTGGTGGCAAATATGCACGCCCCGTGCTCCACCAGGAATCGGACCATGGCGAGGTTGTTACAGCTGGCAGCACAGTGTAACGGCGTCCTGTGGGCATCAGAGGCATTAAGTAGGTAAGTAAATAATAATAATATGATCACCCTTAGATATTCACGTTTTGAACATGTCACAACCGACGAGAACATAATAGTGATAAGATAGTTACATGTATATGCAGTCGTAGCCAGACCAAATTTTTAGTTGGGGCAAACAAAATTTTAGGGGTACACTATATATAAAAACAATATTAATTTCTAATACTTTTTATATTTTTAGAGGGGTCAACGATTGATTAGAGAGGGCAACTACCTCTCTTGTCCCACCCAGCTACGGACCTGATACGATGATAGACCATCCTACGACGACGACGTGCAACTCAACTTGCAACCAATTCCACACGTAGTGTAATTCAATCATAATTGTTGTAAACTGCAGTAGGTATTGCAAGTGTATATAAATTGTAAAGTAACCATAGTGAGAGCGTGGAAACAGGCGTCATGAAATATAATATATACAGGGTGTCCCACAGAGATCTGACATTCTGACAAATGAAATAACTTTTGTT